GTGGCTCAACTCTTTGCTAAATACAGTTGCTATTCTTTCGGCGGCGCCCCGGGATTCTGTTTGAAAGCCGCAACAATATTGTCTGTTTTCCTATTGGCTCCTTGTTCCAGAAAAGTATTTATAGCAGCTGTTCCTTTCTTGACCTGATACCTCACGAGTGTTCTCTGCTTTTCTCTGGGTACCACCTACCGTCATGGCCAGTTCACGACGTGGACACGGAGCGCCAATATTCAGCACTGTATCGTCAGCGGCCTCCATAAGTTCACTACACGGGATTGACACACCTCAAAGCGAAGGGGAAGGGCTGATAGACGTCGAAAGCCAGAGCAGCAGGCAGTATGGAAGCATATCAGAGCAAAGTGAGCAGCAGGACTCACCAGCACTACTGGCACTCACTCGCGTTTCCAGCTCGAGTCGACCATCGGACCAAGTTCAAGAAACGAGTAAAATATTACATCCCAGCTACCGCGTGGATCCCGAGCTATTCCTTATCGCTGTGCGCCCTTTCGTCCTCCACAGGTTGGCCATCCTTCTCATGATTACAACAGGCTCGGCGGCGACGTTCTCGCCGGAATGACCGTGGCCAGCATGCTCATACCCCAATCTGTCAGTTATGCGTCTTCGCTCGCAAAGCTGAATCCGACCACGGGGTTGGTGCGTCTTTACGCTATTCGGGGTCGGGTAGAGGGGGTGCTGACTACATATTCCTATTCCTAGTTCGCGGCTTCTTTTCCTGGAATCGTATACGCCTTTCTCGGAACTTCGAGGCAGCTGAATGTAGCACCTGAGGCTGCGCTGAGTCTGCTGCTCGGTCAGGCTGTCGATGATATACGGCATGACCTATCTGATCCGCATTCTGGGGAGGGCGATAGGCTGGGTTTGCACGTTGCGACGATTATCACTCTGCAGGTGGGACTTGCATGTATGTGTTCTTGACGGACGCTTCTGACAGTCGAGGTTAGGCCGGCCTCATAACTTTTCTTCTTGGGCTCTTCAGACTGGGGTTCATCGATGTCGTTCTGAGCCGGGCGTTGCTGAGAGGGTTTATTACGGCCATTGCGGTTGTCATCACCATGTGAGTACAAACATTTCCGCGTCTCGGTAGCCATCTAATCCGCGTCTCTGCAGCGAGCAGCTGATACCTATGCTGGGCCTGACCGCCTTGGAACACGCCCTTCATCCAGGGGCAGGAACAACATGGGACAAGTTCATCTTCATACTAGATCACTTCCTAGGACATACAAATATCACTACAGCAGCTATCAGCTTTGGTGCACTCTTTACGCTCATTCTCATGAGAAGAGCGAAGCAGAGCTTTGTCAAGTATTGGTGGATATACCGGATACCTGAGGTCTTGGTGGTCGTTATTGTTTCAACGAGTACGTGCTTTCTATCGAATATTTCGTCATGGTTCGATGTTCGTCCAATAATCCAGTACTGTCGGCCGAGTTTGCTTGGGATAAAGATGGCGTGGATATCCTGGGCTCCGTGCCTATAAATACAGGAGCTTCATTTTTCAGGTTCCCTTTACGACCTTCCAATGTGCGATATCTCCGGCGCACGACGTCGACTGCAGTGTGAGTGGTCCTTGTTTCACGTTGAAAATGTCAAGTCTGATGGTGCGCTGTTAGTATGATCGCGGTCATAGGTTATTTGGACAGCATCGTTTCAGCGAAGCAAAATGGAGCTAGATTTGGGTACAGCATAAGCCCGAACCGCGAGTTGGTGGCACTGGGAGCTAGCAACATTGTCAGTTCGTTTATTCCTGGTACGCTTCCTGCGTACGGCTCGATTACAAGGTACGAGATAGGTCCCGGCATGTCATCAGTTTCGTCGGCTGAGGTGACTGTTTGTAGGTCGAAGATAAACGGTGACGTAGGCGGACGGACCCAAATGGCGTCTCTCGTTTGCTCCGGCGTGATTCTACTGGCGACATTCTTCCTCCTTCCTTTCCTCTATTACCTTCCCAAGTGTGTTTTGGCATCAATGTAGGTCTCTGTTGAATTGTTCTGATACGTTGACTTAGCACACTCATGACCTAGTATCTGCCTTGTTGTGATATCTCTACTCGCAGAAACCCCGCACGATGTTAGGTATTATATCAAGTACGTGCTTTTGGCTTTCGTGTTGACAACAGCACTGATGGCATGAAGGATGCGAGCATGGGTAGATCTGGCATTGATGACGCTCACCTTTGTGCTATCGATAGTGTGGAACGTAGAGGTGGGGGTTGGTGTTAGCCTGGTCATTTCCCTTCTCCTCGTCGTGCACCGGTCATCCAAGACGCGTATGACGATTCTTGTAAGTATGATACTCAATCCCAGAATTGAAGCTGATAAGACTTGTCCGTCAATTCAGGGTCGCCTGCCTCGCACGGATAGGTGGAAACCCATCAGCGAGAATCCCGACGCGAAAGAAGACGTTCCTGGGGTGTTGATCGTCAGGATCCGGGAGAATCTTGATTTTGGTCTGTTCAATTTTGTACTGTTGAATCCTAATACTAATTATTGACTGGTCACAGCGAACACAGGCGCAGTTAAAAGGTACTCATTCTTCTTGTTTACTGGAAAAATACCGAAAGCTGACGGTTGGTGTATTAGAACGGCTGAGAAGGTTGGAGCTTTATGGAGTAGATAAGAGCCATCCATCGGAAGAGCCAAGGAGGCAATTGGCTCAAGTACTAGTGTTTCACATGGCTGATGTGGAAACTTGCGATGCTTCGTGAGTTTGTTCGTCACGAGAACAGCGAGGCAACTCTTCTGATGTCCTACCCGCAGTGCCGTACAGATGTTCCATGAACTATTCGAAGAATATCTAGTGGGTCATCTATGCTGCTTATACATATCTTTGTGGCTAAATGCGACGTCATTCTAGAACCGGAATGTAGAACTATTTGTGACGCATCTACGACCTGAGCCGCAAAAGATGTTTGTCATAGCGGGGATTGTGGACCTTTTGGGAGCAGAGGCTTTCCAGGAGAACGTTGCCGATGCCATAGCTATCATTGAGGCGAGATCATGATGATTTATCGACTTTTTGAATATAGATGCAGACTATCATAGGTACATCTGCCTTACTTAGAGCACACACTAGCTTCTGTAATATTTAATGGGTGACACTTTACAGATTGCAGTAATTTAGCGGGTGCCTGGCTTGTACTTGATGCCGTTCATCGCCGGGTCAAGAAGGCTGATTGTCAAGGTGAATGCGTTACTGTGCTGTTATTGGATTGGCCGCTCCAGTATGCGATGCAGGCTCTTTCCATGTAGAGAGGTATGTTACCTTTGTACTCAATCCAGCTACTTTTAATCGATATTTAATATATATGAACCAGGAGAAGATGTTTTATGTTCGTTTTTACATAGTGCTTAGTACAGAAGAGATTTTCCAGACGATTGGATTATGCGTCATAGTTTGCTGTAGCCAGTCGTGGGAATTCGCCGAGTCAAGTTAACCACCACTTGCCCTCTAATGAACATCCCACCTTGCAGCAAATGCAGCACCCTCGCCTATACCTTACTGCCATGGAACCCCGTCCTGCAAAGCTCTCATTTCAGACGCATACACTGAGGATTGATTGAGGATATCAGCGTGCAAATGGACCGGATAATTCCAAGGATGATCTCTGTCGATTCATGTTAGCAAAAGGTTGCTAGGTGCGTCGAGTATTTCCTTTCTCTTGACTAGTCTCAATGTTTTCTTTTCCAGAGAGGAGAGCAAAAGCTTCGAATAAGCCCAATCCGAGTTGTTGCCGAAGCAAGCCGGCGACGCGACGGACTCCAAAGATTCAGGTCTAGCGTTAGGCCCCGCAAGCCGAACGGAATGGCGGAAAAGATTGCTTGGACAGTGACAGCAAAGACTGTGTGGACATTGATACGTGATCGGCACTGTCGTTCGAAGAGACGAGGTATAAACGAGATTGATTCGAAAAGATTACGATACATACGCGAATGCTCGCACCGGCGAGCCATCTCCACCTTTCAGATTCAGAGGGACAAAATTCACATATGCACCTTCAGGTATAGCTGCCAAGTTCCTCAGGTTCTCCACGATGAGCCCCCCAGCACCAAGAATCGCCTGATGTACCCCGAAATCGTTCGCCGCCCCCTCTGTCTCGTCGGGACTCAGAGTGTCAATTCCGATTGCTGATACACCACGAACGACAAGTTGCCTAGCAGCATCTGCATCGAGGAAAGGATGGTTGACATACTCGGGTTTGCCCCAATGTTTACACCAGTCCGTACGGATGAGCACTATGGCTGCCTCCGATCTGTCACCGAGGCTCAGGCTGAGGTCGTCCCAAGTGATTCGCCCTCGACGGACGACTTTTTGGCTGACATCGATGACCATGGCGGGGCGTATAAAGGAAGCGAGGGGGATCTGGTCGATGGACTCGGCTTGGGTAAAGAAGTGGGAAGGAGCATCGACGTGGGTGCCTGTGTGTGTGCACAGAGAGAGGGCTTGGACGCTGTAGCCGTGTTCTGGGACGGTCGCATGAGGAGAACAGGTATAGGGTGGGTCGCCAGGATAGAGGGACATGTTGGACGGATCGAGTGGGTGGCTAAGGTCAATGATTTCGATGGCCATAGTCGCAACGATGATGGATGAGTCGACAATTCGAATGGAAGGCGTTTACCTGCCTATTTACGGTGGACAGTGGACACGGCTAGACCCCAGGTAGTCATATGATGACGACGGCTCATTAACTTCGACAATGATTCTGCTCTCTTATCCTTACTGAACTCTGACGGCAACTTGTTTCTCCTTTCTTGCGGCATTCCGCCTCCTTTCTGCTTATGACCGACCAGTTACCCAACCTGATTTCATCTGCGATCTTTTCGCCCACCGACGATCATCGAAAATTGAAATCAGTTGTAGCCTGTTGATTCGTGCCACCGTAGCATTAGCTTTTAAAAGTGAAAGACTTGTTCGTTGCCTGAGGCTAGAGGCTAGAGCTCAATCTGTTTGGCGGCCCGTTGGAGATACGTAAAAATAAAACACTCTCTGACTGGGAGTCGAACCCAGCTTTCGCGCGATAACATACACCAGTAGTACCATAGAAATGACAGGCGCGTGTACTAACCGATATACTATCAGAGACATGATATAGTAGCGTCGAGGTCTCTAGATGTCATTTCAATATGGCTCCCTCCATTCCCGCTACCTTGGTAGTGAGTCTCTGGCGAACGCTAATGACACCAAATTTTTTTGGTGTAGATTTGCAGGATCTAATTGAGTCCTGTCCCTCCTATTCCGCGTGCGCTGTTTCGGAACTGTCCGTTGATTGGTCATCATCGCATATTTTGGGTTTGCTTGTTGCTGAACGTTTGAATGACGATTTCTTCCTTGTTTACTCATTTTTGGGGGTTATGTTGTAGCTTTAGGAATGCCAAGCAGCATTTCGTTCGTTGTTGGTGAGGGGATCCCTTACGAGGTGGTACAATCCTTTTTGGGCAAAAAGAATGACGTATGTCTCGGCTAGTCGGAAATTGATAAGGGCCCGGCAGGCATTTCTTCCACTTTCCCCTCCTCAATTTGTCGTGTCTGTCTTAGCTCTGCTGTGTATCGATTGCGATGACCTCCACGTTTTCGCCGGTTATTGTTGAAGTTATCCCTGTGCACGCAGCTGTGATAACTCATGAATATTCAGTGGTATCTTCTGGGTGGCCAAAGGTTGGAATGCATTTGAGACAGCGCCGTGACATTAGTTGCATGGGTATTCAAGGCACTGGATCCTTTATTTTGTCTTGTCTCGTCGTTAATTTCGATGGCTATGATGTTCTTCTTGGCTCTGATGCTGTGGTCTATTATCGGGAGCTTTGTTGTATGTCCGGCAGTGCTCAAGGTGTGTTTGGGTTATTGCCCTCGCCAATGGCCTCAGACTCCTTCAATACTACTATTTGGAAAAGCAACCGCACTTATATAAACACTCTCTTTGATAATGTACTTGAACACCTGCAACAAAACGAATTACTCAACATCGCAGATGCCCATGGCATTTCTCTCATTCTCGAACGACACCGGATTGAAGATAAAAAGTAACCAAATATTTCAAGCACTGTGCGCAGACGTGCTATCTCTTCTTTTTCCTCAAACACAGGTAGGGCGTTTAGATTGCCTCCAAGAATTCGACGAAATCAGGAAACACAACACATAACGCATACCTTTATTTAATTTTTTAATACTACGGTTGAATAAATAAATTTCTGTTCCCGATGAAGGTAGCGGGCTGTGCCGCTTGCCGGCCCTACATTCGTTATATCAATATGTACAAGAGAAAGGTATATTTGAAGCATCGCCCTACCCACCAAGACCTGATTTTCCCTACAATCCCTTCTCCTCAGCATGAAGAACATTTCCTCCTGACACAAACGAACTCTATACCGTCCATTCTCCAGACCTCAGCCGTTCTCACCGGGCTCCAAGGCGAAATTCTCGTAGTACTGCGCGAGTTAGATGTATAGATTCCACGTGTCCAGGCTATAGCTACTATGGGCGTTTGCATCGTTGTTCATTGCGAAGGTTTTCATGCGACGATACCGGTGCAAAAATTTCTTGCTGACTGCCATTATGAGGCTGTCAAGCTCGTGTTTCGCGATAGGTCTTTCCCTCCACCTTCGCGATACCATAAGGATGCGACAAATTACCCAGAGCTGTAGAAGCGCACGGACGAAGCGGCATTCCCAGTACATAGAGATGCCGAGCTTGTTAATCTTGACATGCACCGGGATATCATCCTATCGGATCGTGTTTCAACCTCTTCTGATAATTGGTACAATAGAATGGTATCGTTCTTTTGATATAATTACAACGGTAAATAATTGAAAGCACTCGTACGAACAACTTAAGTCTGGAGCCCAGAGCGGATATGGTCCAAGCCATACCATCTCTTCATCATGTTGTCCTACAAGGATTGTTTCGTGAGGAAAGACGGAGTGAAGTTTTCCGGACACTCACAAAGGCAGTACGAGGGAGGAAAGTATCCACCATCCATACAAACCGCGACTTGCTTCCTTCCCAAAGCCATGCCCGAGGATTGGCTTTCAGAGCTTCCAGTACCACATTCTTGGCATAGTCCTCAGCGCTCATAGCGCCTCCTGAGGGGACACAGTACGTGAGAGAATAGACGGAGAATATTGGAAGGGCAGATACCTTGAGATACCTCCTTTCGCTTTCCGAGGACGATAGATTCGATGGACTTGTACAACGAGCTGCCGGGCAGCGGATTCAGCTTAGTCTCGATGATATCGCTTTTCACGCTGCCGGTACATAACTAAAGGAGTAAAAGTTCGGTTACCGAAGGTATATTTTGAGTGTCATATGCAACGCTCACGTTGACAACCTTGATACTAATGGGAGAAAGAATGATTTAGGCATAAGTTTAATTTGAGTGCACAAGAAAGCGCACTTGAAAGGAGACAATTCAATACGCAACGTGTTTCCGTATGTGTGAAGAGCGGCCTTCGAGGAACTGTATGTCGAACCGAAGGGATACGGTGTTACACCAGCAACACTACCGACTTGAAGAATGCACGCGTCACCCGAAGCAACGAGAAGGGGCACGAATGCTTTGACCATACGCATTACGCCGAATACATTGACGTTGTAGAGATCCTGTACTCGCTTCATATCGAGATCAGCTGCGGCCGACAAGAAGGCTAGGGAGACACGTGTAGATAGAGATAGAGGGATACACTTTGAGAAACGGACATACTTTGACCGCTAGACTTATGATGAATAAAAGGAGAACAAAAGTAGCTGAGGGCTTACGCATTATTGACTAATATGTCAAGTTTACCTCCAGTAATTTCCGCCACTTGGTCGCGAACCCAGATGATCTGCTTTCGTTCGTAACATCAAGAGCAAATGTCTTTATCCCAGAGTTTGAGAGCTCTGAGAGTGCAGTTTCATTACGGGCCGTAGCAAACACAACCAGATCTGACACCAACCTTTTCAGTGTACAATATACCAGAGGAGAAAGTCCTGAGCTTTCCTTGTTTGTGGAATTCTCGAGCGAGAGCGTTTCCAATACCTGTACTGCACGTTAACCAAGTTATGAACTAAAGCAGCATGACGTTTGAATCGTCGTACCCTGTGATCAACACCGTATTTCTTGGAGGCATGGAAGGAGGTTGTTGAGTGTGTAAGGCGCTTATTACACCGAGAAGCCCTCAGAAGCGCAACATACCTCACCTTCCAGGGCTTCATGGGCGCCGGATGGTGGGAGGATGATCGGCCAGCCGCCTCGGCGGAGTCGGCGGACCGAGGAGTATCAGGGGTCCCTAGGTTCATTATCCGAACTGCTAGATTGGAACGTTGTGATCCTTTCTTATCATCATCTTTGAGAGAACGTTCTCCACCGCGTTATGTCCCGGCTCGCACAAGCTTTCGAGAGTTGGGATTTCCACAAACCCATGAAGCAAGTCATAGTTTTTCAACCAACAGTCATGAAGAATGTCAACCCTGCAGCCGAATCAGAATTTCTACCTACGCACTCTAACATCGAATAGCGCATGTCAGAAAGGTCAAAGATGCGCGCGGTAGTAACTACTAACTTGAGGGGCCCTTTCTTTCGGGACGGTTTAGAGCGGCCTTCAACATACCTTCTATTAGTCATTCAATTCACTTGGCATCAGTTTTCTATTTGTTCCCAGCTAATATTTCCAAAGGAAGCATGCAATTATGAAAAGCGGTTGTAGATACATGTTTGGCGACAACTTCAAGGCCCAAGCTGGATCATACCGGGGCCCACTGGCACGGCTTTTCGACGGCCTCGAGTTCGCTGTTGTCCTCCTCATTTTTTGAACAAACGCTTAATTTGTAAAAATACCGTTTATATCGGGAAATAACTCCGTGAGCCTTATCTCTCCTGTTCGTCGATTTGAAGTGCATTGAACCGTGTGTAGAGAAGTATTGTAACTGCACGTTCGAAACGTGTTCATTGGAAATTCAACTGACGTGAAATATGGATAAGCGCATTCCCATACCCCTTGAACTCATTGATATAATTATCAGTGAATGTCACCTCGACATGTCTACCCTACGCTCATGCTCTCTGGTTAACCGATCTTGGTCTCCCCTCGCTCAGTCCCACCTATTCTCTCACGTCCGCATCGAGCCTGAAGGGCTCTGCACCTTCCCCGGGGGTCTATACTCAACGGATGAATTTTATTATCACGTCGAGTATCAAGGTGTCCCCAGCGCAAACTTTTCCCGTCCTGGAAAACTAGCCACATTCGCAGCACTTTTAAAGTCGTCCCCTCATCTCGGGCCGTTCGTGAGAGAGTTGCATGTCGGGGCATACCAGGATGAAGTATGGCCGCGAGACTCGAGCGACATACGAGACATTGTAAACATTCTCTTACCCAAGCTCTTCTCCTTGACGATAAAATTCCACAAGTTGCAGAGCTGGGAGGAGCTACCTATTATTGCCATCTCAGAGTCGCCGAAGCTGACGTATCTGGAGTTATCTCACGTTTTGTTTCCTTCTGTCTCCAGTTTTCTCATCTTTCTCGGGACGCTCCCGGCATTGAGGGTCCTTATCTTAGACGGGGACGTGTGCATTGAGAACGCCACTACCGTATCCCAAGTCCAAACCGTGCGATCTAAACCGCAGCTGCGCGCATTGACAATCCACACCACGCCTTCTTCCTACTGTACCATCCTTGACTGTTTCTTGTCGCCTTCGTCACCCGTCGACGTGGCTGCCATCCAAAGTCTATCTCTCTTTTGTCGTCTTCGAGATAAAATCACCCCAAATACTGCCGTGACGCAATCTACGACACGGTTATTAATGCATATCAGCGGCCCACTGGAGCACCTTCGGCTACCCGTCACTTTGAATGGTCAGTGATGACCAACATTCTCTTGTACGCTCGCTCACGCTTCCGTTCTGTTTTAGACCCGCTCTTCAAATCGATCTCAGCCTCCCGGCTCCGGTCGCTGTACATCTGCAGCCAGGCGGGGGTGCCCAAATGCCTGAATTGGCTTATCCAGACGCTCTCCCAGCCGTCTCCTTTGGCGTTGACGTCCCTCTCCATAGACGTCCTACACACAACGCTTTTTTGCGATGACAGATTCGAGGCTACCACCAAGCTATG